GCAAGGCTCCGCCCAGCGAGGGATGGGTTCGTTTTCCCTGACTTAGTCCACACGGAATTCGTATCTAGTGCACGTATGCAAGAGCAGTTTCAAAATTGAGACTTGACGTTGAAAATGAGCCAGAAGCAAAAAAAAAAAAAAAGAGATTACAAAGGTTCCTAAAGCTATTTGTCTCCTGACTGGTTTGGTAGGACACCCGTCAAAACATTTTTTGAGCACGCATCCCCAGTATCTGTGTGAATTTATGTGTGCTAATGTGCTAAATACTAAAATGTGATGAACACTATAAAACAAATAAAAATTAAAAATATTTTGAGAAATACATTCTGTGCTTGCAAAAAATACTTTTAAAATTTAATACGAACAATGTAATCGAATATCTGTTTGTTTTTATCTTAGTTTAAGACTTTGAAACAGTTAATTTGCAGACCTGGTTTCAAGTTCAGTTTATTTCTAAACTTGCAGTAATGGCTATTATGAGGAAAGGCTTCTCAGGAAATAGATTGATTTAAAGGTGATAAAGGCATTGGTTGTACGTACTAACCTTGACACTTTATTATTCAATCCACATACTAATTATGCAAAGATTTTTAGTTGAAATCTCGCTAGTAAAAATCCGTTTTCCTCTTGAAAACTGGTTGTTTCTGCAAGCCAATTTTTTAAATGTATTTTTAATATTTTTGACAGTTCAAATATTTTCTTTTTGAAAAATTTTTATGAAGTTTCAAAAATTATGTTTCCAAGTTTAAGTGCCCACATATGAGTTTTAATATCTTTTTTAGTAATAAAATCATCTAATGATAGGAAAATAAATAGATGTTCTCGAAATGATCCTAGTCTTTCAAACAGTAGTTGATTTCTCATTCATAGATAAATTGCACCTTTTCATACAAAGCAACCTAATGCCCCAAGGCTAAGTAAGATTCAGACTTCTTTGAAGGTTCGGCTGAGACCGGAACGTGCAGTCTGCCAGTGGCAAAGAAATTTGCCAAAGGGTCAAAGCTTGTTCATGGAAGCTGCTGTTGCGGAAGGGTGTGGCCTCGCTGGAACTGGCGGATGCAAAGTGCCCGGTAGGAACACAGACACGAGGGATTTCTTTCATTGCTACTTAAAGTGAGATGTTAGGGACAGAGGCAAAGTGTTTCATAAAGACATGATATAATGTCATTTGTATTATAATTCTATCTTTAAAGCTAAAGCACAGAATCATTTTTTTATCCTATAATACCGAACCAAGATTTGATACAGAAAACACATTTTCTTATACTAATTTATACACTGTTTAGGTCAGATCCACTCATTTATTTTATTAAACGAATGTCAAAAAAGCAACCTAGAGTGATACAATCGATCTCTCAAATTAGAGAAACAGGTGAGGAGACTATCAACAGCAGTTTTGTATGAAGATTTCAAAAATAAATTAGAAAAACAGACAATTTTATGGAGAACCAGCATCACTGAGGATATCTTCTTATAACTAACAATACATATGTCAATAAATTAGAAATCTGTTTTACTTCAGAATATGTTTTAAGGCAAAGATGTTACTATGACTAAAGTTTTACACATAATTATTTTTAATAAAATCTTTATTTTGGAATACTTTTAGATTCGCAAAAAAAAAAGTTGTTGCAAAAATAATAATACAGGGACTTCTGCATGCTACTAATAGTTTCCCCAAATGCTAACATCTAACATTACCATGATACATTTGCTAAAACTAAGAAGCTAGCATCGGCACATTGCTACTAACTAAACTCCATATTTCATGTGGATTTTCCTACTTTTTCTGTTAATATCAACATAAGTATTTTTAAATAGACAGCAGAAGTGGGGAGTTAATGTTACCGTGGCAACTTGTGAACTATCAAAATGACATTCTTAAGAAAAGTCTTATTTATCAATACATGGCCTTTATAAAGATTTTTCTTCACTAAATGACACATGTGAAATATAAGGAACAATGATGATACAGTGACCAGACAGCTCAAGAATAGTAAAGCATGCAGCTGAATAACATAGTATTTCTGAAATGTAAAGAAAAGTCACATTAAGACAAAACGTTGAGGTAAAAATAAAATTTGCCATTCTCTCTAGCTATATAGATGTGACAGTGTCACTAGAATGCGTTATTTCGAGATTTATTTGCTAATATTCAAATGTGAAAAATATTCAGACTCGTTTGTATAATTAAAAACAAACTTGTTTTTAATTGTAATTGTTTTTCCATCTTATGATGCATTGTTCACACCGTAATAAGACGGTCTCGTCTGATGAAAGAGGCAGGTTTAGGGGGAGCAGAATCTCCCGTAAAAGAGAATGGTGTTGGTTTTATTATGCCTGATGAAGAAGAGGAAAGGGTGGTCTGCATTCACGTCAATGGTGGGGAGTCTAATTCGAAAACCCACCTCACTCCCGGTGCCAGCTGCGGCCTCTGTACCTTGTTCATTTATTTCTACAAAGGACTTGTGGAAAACATTGGACAGAAATAGGTTTCTCTCCATAGACATTCCTGAGAAATCAGCTTTGCTCTGGTTAAAGGCATCAGTCATCCCCATGCGGCTCAGGGCTGACTTGAGATCATAAGTCTCCTCCAGCTTGAACTTGGGAAGATGCAGCTGCACATCGTACAACTCCATCATGTCCGCACTGGTCCACTCACGCAGCTTCTCATAGGTGACAGCCTTTTCCAGCTGCAGGTGTGGAACGAAGAAAGAAAGGGTCAGTAATTCCAAAGTAGAGTAAGAAATATTGGTTGAGTGAGTCCTCTGGCTATTACACAAACGAATTACGATCACTCACGTTACTCAGGGTAACAACACACGCCCATTTGGAAATTCTCTATATAATGCGATCCTTCACACTGTTCACCTACAGAATCTTTGTTCTGCAGATTAATAGTTGCCAGGATATCAAATAATTAGACCTTGATTCAAAATGGAAATATTTTTATGATACTATGCAAGGCATCAACTATACACTCATAAGTACATCAAAATAAATACAATTTATATGTAATCTATATGAAAGCATATGCTATAGGACAAGTTGTATGTCAGGGCACAAAAAACATTAGTTTTATTAACATGAGAGACTGTTCTTTAAAAACAATATCTGAGATAAAATAAAATGTTTATACTGTATAATCAAACAATATGAATTTAGTAACAGTAAACTATGCAAAAAATAAAGGAAAGAAGAGAGAGAGGGGAAGGAAGGAAGGAAGGAAGGAAGGAAGGAAGGAAGGAAGGAAGGAAGGAGAAAGAGAAAGAAAGAGAGAGAGAGAGGGAGAGAGGAAGGGAAAGAATGGGAAAAAAAGGAAAATCCCCAAATTTTAAGAGTAATAACTTTTTTATAGTGATTTTGAGGGTGCTTTTTCTCCTCTTTATTTTTTAAATT